TTTTATATTGCAATGAATTTGAAGATATATATATATATATATATATAATAAAATATATAAATATATAAATATATATATATATATATATATATATATATATATATATAATAAAATACATAAATGTATATATAATAAAATATATAAATGTATATAAAATATATATATATAAATATTTATCGTACGATTGTTAAAACTTTGCGACGTCAACGAGCTCGATTATTTGTATTTCTTGGTTGTAACATTTTCACCTGGGTGCTCGAATAACGAAAAATCGCGTGATAAAACGCGAGCCGGAAAAGATGTCCCCGTTAAAGTTTATGAAGCAAAACGATCGCAATGTACACACTGTCGCGCCATATTTAATCCTCCATCCGCGGACTAAGGTGAGCATTTAATAAGGCTGTTAGTTTAAGTGGCCATTGTTCCAACGCATGCAACGACCATCCGCCCGTCCTGTCCGCATTGTAATGCGCTAAACACCGATAGACGGACATGCGTGAGAGATGAATCACTGCTGTGTATTTTCGTAACGGCTGGAAAACTACTGAATCCGCTTTTCATGGACGTGTTACTCTTATCTTGTTGACCGATCGCGCTCGACATGTCCTTAACACGCTCGTTACCATTACACGTATCGCGAACGATCTTCGCAGCTCGAATAGTCGAACATTCAAATTTATCGACTCTTTAACCGGTGTCACGGGATCTTTTGATCCCTACGAAATTGATTACAACTCCCAACACTTTGCTCGAACTCTTACTAAACCGTCGTTGCAGAATGGTGTAAAACGCGATTCGAACTGCGCAACATGATTTTTATCATTACGCTTCCCTCTGCGTGAATATGCAGGGAGTGTCCCAAAAATGTCTCGCAATCCGAGAATGGAAGGTTCCTGAGGTAATTTGAAGTAAGTTTGTCCTTGGCGAAAATGCAATCCACGGGTTTGTTTACGAGTTATTAACGAAAAAGAGTGACCAATAAGAGGTGAGATATGCTGGCGCGAGGCGACCGAGCCAATCAGCGGAACTGGGATTCGACCGCTCGACCGTTGGCTCGGCCGCCTCGCGCCAGCTGAGCTGGGATTCGACCACTCGACCGCTGGCGCCGTTGGCTCGACCGCCTGGAATTCGACCCGCTCATTGGCTCGGCCGCTCCTCGCCTCTCACTAGCTCGGTCGCTCCGCGCCAGCCGGCTCGCCTACCGTTGCGCTCCGCGCCAGCCGTGCTCGCCTCTCATTGGCTCGGCCGCCAAGCTCTAGGCGAGCTCGCCTCTCATTGGTCAGTGCTTTTCGTTAATAACTCGTAAACAAAGCCGCAGATTGCACTTTCGCAAAGGAAAAAGTTACTTAGAATGACCTCAGCTATCCCATATTTCCGTAATGCGAGACATTTTTGGGGCACGCTGTATGTATATCTAATATATCTTGCCCGCAGAAGTTAAGAAACATGTTACACAGATGCATATTATTGGGTGTAGTAATTTATTTATTAATGCTTTACACCGAATGGTTTATTCAGCAAATGCAGGATACCTTTCGAAATCTCTTACCAAACATAAATATCGAACCGTTCGCCAAAATTACAGACTAGACTAACAATCGCACAAAATCGAAGTAACCGCGCCCCTATTATTTCGATAAGACGTCAGATCGAATGAC